TCTTTCTACTTAACTTAGCACAGGGAATCTGACATTCATCCAAGCTGTCAAGCATATCAATAGTTTGTTCCTTTTTTATTGTCCAGAGTAGGTATTCCATTGTAAAATATACTGTGGTCTATCCTTCCCTCTACTGAGGGACATCTGAGTTGTGTCTAGTTATTGGCAATTATAAGTAGTGACACTTTTAATATCACTGTGAAGTTTTTAATGTTCAACATGTTATTGAAAGATGAGATTCTCAAAAAAAAAGTTTTCTAAACATTTATCTTCTTGATTTCTAAAACAGTCTCCTTGAAGTGTTAGGAATGAATATTGAGCCTGGATAAATTAACTTAAAAATTAATGTAAAATTTGTTTCTCCAACTTAAAAGCAAGCTAGTGAAAGTGTTTATACTTCAGGCTTACATTTGGCCTAATAATATACCACCCTGATTCTTCTTAATGTTGTAAAAAGAATCCTTAAAATTAGTATGTATGTTTATAGAGCACACAGTGAGATGCTGGGGAAATGGCTTACAGGTGGCACATATGTAATCCTCATTTGAAATACAGCTGGATTATGTGCTACCACTTTGCTGGGCTGTGATTTCTCTGAGTTGGGTGTTTTCTTTTTTAGGACCAGGATGATTAGTATAAGACCTATGGACTAAGGTGTATCTCAGGCTCTGAATATTCAACTTTAATAAAAGATATTTTTTAAAACCTTGCCTTCAGAGATTATTAAATCTTGTTACATGTAGAAAATAAGGAAAATAATATATTTCAAATATTTTCTACATTATAAAGGGATGCTAAACATATCTTTCTTTCCCATAACAGTTTGGTCATGTATCTCTCTAATAGCCTCTCATTCTTTCTGGCTGACAGCCAGGAGTGCTCTTTGGGACACACCACGCCAGGTCTTGGTTGACTCAGGGTCTACCATTAAGCCTTTTGCAGTTAGGACAGAAATATAAGGAAGACCTAGATGACTGTATAGAAAACACAGTGTCAGTGAATGAACATTTACTAAATACGCGTCATAGAAAAGATTCAAGTTCAAAGAAAGTTACTGTTTTGTGGGGCAACGTCACAGGAGGTTCATCTATAAACAGTGAAGGTGGATGTTCCTACTTTGCTTTGGTTCTGGAAAAGCTGATGAACTAATCAAGGTATCAGGAACTGCTCAAATGAAGGGAAAAAAGTACTTGGTAAGGGTGATGTTTGAGGTATAAGTTATATAGGTAAAGCCAAAGGGCTATGCAGACGGTCACCCCTCTGATTATATACCTCTCAAATCAGAAATGTCGAAAGCTATAGAGGAGTGTATCTGTGAGCCTTCAGTTCAAAATGCAGAAATCACTAAGAAAAGCATTAGAAAATATATCCTTGTTCTGTTTCAAGTATGCATATGCAGAAAGTGGATGTATTTCTCACTAAAGGTTTAAATAGCACACGCTGAATTTAACAAGAGGTGCCGGCTGTGGGAAGGATGACTGTGTATCTTCAATACTGTGAGTCTTTGTGCATTGCCAGTGTATTAACTCAGAAATGACAGCCACAGTGCAGAACGCTCTGTGAACGTATGATGATAATATAAAAGGAATGAAGTACTGGCTATAAATGGGAGGATGGTTTACTTGGCAGCTTTAACTTGGAACCAGCCAAATAAAATTGCTCTATTTTATTCCTTTGGTATCCTAAAAATTTCCCATGAGCTAAATCAATAAGTGAACCTTTCCCCATGTCACGTAAATTATTTTCTCTACTACCAGAAGTAAACATACATGATTGTTAACAAAAGTTCTTAAACTTAATTTTACCACTTACCTGATTGCAAGTAAAATTGAACCTATATTTTGAATGAGTTTTTGAAGGCAAAAACCACAATATTCCAAAAATAATTACAAATAGTGTAATCATTTTCATAAATTGAAATTTCTTTGTGGTATTTTATATACAATAAAATTTTATAGGCAAATTTCCAGACAAATTTTATATGAAAATTATCTATTTGTACCTTTCTCATTTTATTAATATTTTAATTTTATTGGTGTATAATTGATTTGTAGTGATCTGTTATTTTCAGGTGAACAGACTAATTCAGTTACATATATATACATCTGTTCTGTTTTAGATTCTTTTATTAACACTTTATTTTTTAGAGCCATTTTGAGTCACAGCAGTGTTCAGGAGAAGGTGCAGATATTTTCTGCATAACCCCCCACATGTCTGAAAGTGTTAGTCACTCAGTTGTGTCCGACTCTTTGCGATACTGTGGACTGTAGCTTGCCAGGCTTATCTGTCAATGGAATTCTCCAGGCAAGAATGCTGAGTGGGTAGCCATTCCCTTCTCCAGGGGATCTTCCCGACCCAGGGGTAGAACATGGGTCTCCTGCATTGCAGTGAGATTCTTTTACCGCCTGAGCCACCAGGGGAGCCCCTGCACATGCCTGCCCGTCCTCATTTTCAGTGACCTTCATCAGAATGGTGCCTTCATTAAAAACGGTGGACCTGCATTTATACATAGCACCCCAAGTTCACAGTTTACATTCCTTGTTTTAAGTGATAGCAATTGCTTTTATTTTTTCCTTTCAGAACTAAGATCAATTTTGTATAAAAGTGTAAATGATACTGAATAAAATGCACTGGAATAGTATTCTTATTTTTGGCTTATTTTTAATTAGAATATTACAGTTATATAAAAAGTCTACATTAAAAATACAATAAAGAGAAATAAAGTCTATTTAGAACTTTATTAAGATGGTGATAAGTAGGATATCAGGATATCCAGGCCTTTCTTTGGATTTAGATATGAAGCAAATGCCACTCAAAGACTTTCCTTAAAATATATTAGAGCTAATTATCTACGACTAGTAGGATAGCTCAGTTGGTAAAGAATCTGCCTGAAATGTGGGAGACCTGGGTTCGATCCCTGGGTTGGGAAGATCCCCTGGAGAAGGGAAAAGCTACCCACTCCAGTATTCTGGCCTGGAGAATCCCATGGACTGTATAGTCCATGGGGTCACAAAGAGTCGGACACGACTGTCTGACACACCTCATTCCACAGTAGGTTTCGCAGTAAAATATTAGATGCCCTTTGCTTTTCCTTTTCTTCAGGGTACTCCGTCTGTTGATTTGCAGCTAAACAGTGGGGGGGAACTACCTTGATGAAATTCTTTATCATTGAAGATAAAATCGATCATCCAGATTTGATTTCAGAAATTGTCCATTCTTATGTGATAGTACACTGCTTCTTTGAAAACTCTTAAATCTTTAGAATTAAGCTGGAACAAGCAGATAGAACATTCCTGACATTAATGAGTTTTGAATATTTGGTCAACAAATCTTTTTCTTTTATACAATATATGCCTCAATTTCCTAGGGGAAAAAAATTCATTGTACATGAAAGTATGTTAGGACATAGAAAGTATGTGGATTTTTTCATTTCTTTTGCTAACAGAACCCTTCTGGCCCTTGTGTTAGTTAAATTTATATCCATGTTTATAAGAATTTGTGAAAAGGTCATGTTTGAAATCCCTGCTCTATTTCCCATCAGATCACCATTTCGCAGTCCATGGACTCAGTGGCCTTCATTTGGGATCTTTCATTTGCACATCTTTCCAGGTTACACCGTGGTGGGTGTCACCCTTGGGTTATTAGCCTGGTGGCAGTGGACTCCTGTCCCCGCATCACTGTGCTTTGATTTCACCCTGAAATGTCATTTTGAATCCCAAGGTCGCTCAAACAAACAAGAATTCAAAAATTAGTATTGAAAAAATCTTCAAAGACGGGCAAAAATAGACTTGAAAATTCATCTCTGAACTTCCTAGAGACTCTGATATATGATTGAAATTTGAGAACCTTTCAGTTTTTCAGAATGTCTTCTTGTAGTGGGCAGGGAGAAAAACTCTTAAAGTTGCTTTTTCAAACCAGTAAGGAGAAATAAAAATGAAAAAACTGTTTGTCTTGATGTCTCATATACCAAAGGCCTCTTGCTCCCTCTACAGAAGGTGTTGCAAAATTGCAGTCACAAAGATGTATTAAAAAAAAAAAAAAAAAGAACAGGTTTATCTTGAGGTTCATGATTCACAAAATGTTTTGGGTCCGTATGTACCTCCAGTGTCTTGCAAACTAGTTGGTTGTCCTGAAGTTGGCCACAGTAGGTTTCTGTGTTTCTACCCTGGTGTTTTTCAGTGGTGTGAGCAAGGGTTTAGAGTAAACTCCATTAACAATAACTGTTTAAAAAAAAACACAGAAGTATTCTGGGCTTGTTAATTGACTTTATTTACTCACATGAATGAGTAAAATGCTTGAAAAAATTTCTTATTAGGTAATTGTTTTATATATTTTCATTCTTTTTTTTATATAGCCAGGAAATTTGCACCATGAAAACAGTAGACTCCACTTAAAGACTTATTAAGTTCTCTTATTATCTCTTATTATCTACTTCTAATTGTTCCAGTCATTTTTAGATCTTAGTTGTTGCTGGGGCAAAAATTAACAATCTGAATTGTAACTTTGCAGGAGAAAGAACTGTTTCATTAATGAAACTGGATTTTTTTCAACTATACATAATACAGGAGACTGAAATTTGACCTATAAATACTTAATATATAAAACAATCATCCATGTATATATATCATCTTAATTTACAAATTTAAGTTGGAACAAAATGTTAATATTTTACTAACTTTCATGTAAATAACTTTATGCTTTCACTTACAACTCCAGGACCTTTTCATTTTATTTGATAGGTTACTGGTTTCTCTTATTGTGCCATTTTAAAGTTATAAGTATAAAAATGCTTTTATTTCATCAATAGGGTCTTAACAAAAGATTAAAAATCCTTTTCATTTGTATTTAGTATAAGAATAGCCCTTAGGATGTTACCCTGTAATTAAAAAATGAACCCAAGAGACAACATAGATTCTTTGATTTAAATAGGTCACATCAGAGTTGCCTGTCCTAAATTATTATGCTAAAACTAGACTGGATTTTTTTTCCCCCTCTGGTAGGTGTACTGGTCCATTAGCGAATTCCCTTTCAGAGAAAACAAGAGACCTGGTAGAGGAAGATGACGATGAATACAAGATTCCTTCATCCCATCCTGTTTCCTTGAATTCACAACCATCTCATTGTCATAATGCAAAACCTCCTCCTAGGTAAGAATATGGGCCATTTTTTGTCACCTCACATCTGGATAAGCAGTATCATTTGTGGTATTTGTTTTTAAACTGAATCACATCTGTCTACTGAAAAACCTTTTATTTCTTGCTCAAAACCTCTTCCACCTATAATACTGTTTTTCTCCATGACTTTCAGAGAAAACAAAAAGATGCAGATTTCCATTAACTAGGAAGCCCTCTGACTAAATTAGTTGACTAATAAGTCTGATGGAATAATTTGTTGCCCCCCCCCCACAAAAAAACAAATTATACCCTAGTAAAACTTCGCTGTAGGTTACATATGAGTGAGTGGGGTCAATAGTTGTGTCCGACTCTTTGCAACCCCATGGACTGCAGCCTACCAGGCTCCTCCGTCCATGGGATTTTCCAGTCAAGAGTACTGGAGTGGATTCCATTCCCTTCTCCAGGAGATCTTCCCGACCCAGGGATTGAACCCAGGTCTCCCACATTGTAGGCAGATGCTTTACCATCTGAGCCACCAGGGAAGTCTGGTTACATATAGTGGTGATTAATTCATGGGTTGTCAGTAAGTATTTTCAACACTTTTTATCACTTCTAAGCACATATCTCATGAAGGAAAGCTATTGCTTAGAAACAAGTTATTATACCAACCTTCCTTAGAATTTTTCTTCGTGATATAAGGACTAGTATAACATTTATTTTCCTTCTTGATGTGCTACCTACTTCAGATCTTGAAGAATTGAAACAAATTATATAACTATTTTTATCAGGTACTATTTTTACTTTCCCTTGGATTAAACAAGCATGTGAGGAATAGTGTTTGGCTTTCTTTTCTTCTTGTCAGCTATTTATTCTTCCTCCTATAGAGACACCCTTGGTCTTTGTTATTAAAAATGGGTGGTGTGTATTGAAATATTAGATTGTCTTTATGACTCTGCATTTATAAAATTGAATTACTAAATCATAATCTAATAATATTTTGCTTTTTTTTTTTTTTTTACATCTGACATATTAACATTCAGTGAATGCTCAGTCATGTCTGACTCTTTGTGACCCCATGGACTATAGCCGGCCAGGCTCCTCTATCCATGGGATATTCCAGGGAAGAATACTGGAGTGAGTAGCCATTTCCTTCTCCAAGTATATTTAGTACTCAGGAAGTCAAATCTCAGCCTCAGACATCTTTCCTGAGCTTTCTCTGTATAATTACACCCCTGGAGCTCTGCCTGGCGTATGCGGAAGAGCGCTCAGCTGCTGCTCACGTCCCAGCCTCTTGCCTGGCAGTCTCTCTCTGTTGACTGGGAACAGGAGAGCTGTTGGACACTTCAGTCATCTATGTCATCTTTACGTAGTGTGCTGTTTCTTTCTGAGGTCAAGCCAGTCAACAGAGTGTTTTATGAGTAGAGTTTTCCTTTCTTTCCAGAAGAAATATCTTTAAAAAAAAATGTTTTGATGCCTTTCTTCAAGTATTGTACTATAATACTTGGAAAAAGAGAAGCAAGTTTCCATTTAAAGCAGAGATCTGCCTTAATGAATTACATGCTTAGAATTATCATAGTAAAGCACTCCGCACAGTTGTTAACCAGGGTTATTAACAGTTAGCCGCCCAGGGCTTCATATTTCAAGGTGTTAGTCGCTCAACCATGTCTTTTGTGACGCCATGGACTGTTGCCCACCAGGCTCCTCCATCCATGGGATTCTCCAGGAAAGAATACTGGAGTGGGTTGTCATTCCCTCCTCCAGGAATTCTTCCCAACTCAGGGATCAAACCCAGGTCTCCCACATTGCAGGCGGATTCTTTACCGTCTGAGCTCAGAAGATCCTGGGTTGGGAAGATCCCCTGGAGAAAGGGGATGGCTACCCATGCCAGCATTCTTGCCTGGAGAATCCCATGGACAGAGGAGCCTGGCGGGCAACAGTCCATGGGTCACAAAGAGTCGGACACAACTGAGTGACCAACACTTTCACTTTCACGTTTCACAGTGAAGACCAGTGTTCTTTTGCAGACTGCTGGCCTTTAGGGCATTTATTGGTAAAACAGTATCATTGAGAAGACAGAGAAATAACTGAGGTAATAATTTATTATGTTAGAAGAGCCAAATGTCTATTGCTCTTATTAAAGAAAAAAGTTATTCCTTAACATCAAATATCCACTGTTAAAATTTTCAGTTCCCTTGGTGCTTAAAAATTTGTAGTAATTTTAAAAACTGAAATAAGATGAGATTTTGTTTTTGGTCTCCTTGGGATCTCATTTATTTTCATCACTGGGTAAGTAAGGGGTATAATTTTAAGACTTTACATTTTAATTGTCACATCATATTCAATGAGATTTTTGGTGACAGGCCTCTGAAATCCTGAAAATAAATTTAATTTATGACCACCATTACCATCTTTCTACAGTTATAGAGAAGTAATAAATGTTGATAATCCCTAAATTTAATTGGAGTGAATTTTTTATTTGATTGTTCTTGAGAGCTGATGGATGAAGTATCTTCTTAGGTCCTCTCCAAAGCACTCTAAACTTAGATACCTTCTTTCTGCATTTTTCCTCTCTTTGGAATATCAGGAGAAATAAATTGTCAATATATAGAAAATGTTAAAATGTAGATGAATAATTCAGTTTCAGTAAAAACCCATCATTTTATGAAAATACATGGTAACTATTTTTAAATGAACCGTCTCTGTCCCCTTAAAGAGATGCGGCCACTAGAGAGAAAGGAAGTGGATTTCAGATGAAGCACTTGGCAGTAACTATTCAGATGTCCAATATCTCCTCCATTATGTATGTACTTTTACTTTGCCCCAAGAAGTCAGGGTAAATTGAGAAAAGTAAAATACAAACTCTGCTTTCTGCAGCTCTTTGTGAGCAGAGTGAGCAGAGAGTCTGCTGCTGCACAATTATATTCTGAAGACAAAATAAGCTCAGTGCTTCTCTTCCTATGCCTCGGACTTAGCCATTGTGTTCATAGTTTGATTCCAAAGCATTAAAGCCAACAACAAAAATACCTGTTTAGTAAGTATTGTCCTTTTAGAGACACCCAGATTAAAATATCTGGTGTGTACCCAAGGCCTTTGCTAAAGTCATTTTTCTACTTACCTTACAGAAATACCAGAGTTTTGTTCATGGCAATAGTGAAATTATGCCCCAGGCTCCTGTCCTTTGAAAATGCCTATCTGAATTTTTATGGACTTTCTGAGTATTTAATAATTCTCCTTCCTTGATAATTCCCTGATAGCTCAGTTGGTAAAGAATCCACCTGCAATGCAGGAGACCCCGGTTCGATCCCCTGGAGAAGGGAAAGGCTACCCGCTCCAGTATTCTGGCCTGGAGAATTTCATGGACTATATAGTCCATGGAATTGCAAAGAGTCAGACAAGACTGAGCGACTCTGACTTTCTTTCCTTCCTTGATTGGTTCCAGTTTTTTATAAGGAAAGCTTAAATACAGAAATAAAAATACACTGTTAAGTATCACTAATCAATAATGAAGTCACTGGGACTTTTACATGTTTTTGCCTGCATATTACATTTTTTTCTTCCAAAACTTGATAATATGGAAATCTTCCAAAATTATATGTTAATTCCACAAGTCTGTTTAGGATATGAACAGTTTTGTGGCCCTTTTAATTGTTGGTTTCAGTTAACAAAAAAATTGTCTTCTATGGAATATTTACTTCTGCTTTGTAGAAGTATTTGAGTAATAGTATGTAGATATTACCTGCACTTTTTCCAGAAAAGTAAATTAATGATATTTATTTTCCAACTTTATCATATGAGCGAGGTTGCTGCTTCCCATCATCTCCCCACCCCCAGATGACTTTTAAATGGAAAGCAATGACCCTTAACGATTTCTGTCCTTTGATTTCTGCTTCAGATCTTGTGATAACGGTCACTGCATATTGAATGGAACACATGGCACATCCTCAGAGATGAAGAAATCAAACATCCCTGAGTTAGGCGCGTATTTAAAGGGTATGTATAAAACATCCTCTTTGTCTTCTGCATCTTAATGGTCAGAATTTAAAGGCAAATTCCACGCCGCTGTCGTACTGAAGATACATTAAGATTTTGTGTCATCCTCTAGGAGATGGTTTTGATTCAGCAGCCTGCGATCCAGTGCCATTGCTACCCGCCAGGCCTGCAGCCCGGGACAGTGCAAAGCATGGGTCTTCACTCAACAGGACGCCCTCTGATTATGACCTCCTCATCCCTCCGTTAGGTCGAAACCTTTAAAACAATTTCAAACAAGCCACTCTGCCATCTCTTTCAATTCACATCTGAATGATCAGAATTCAGGGTTCAATGCAGTGCAGCCTTGTCGGGTTCTGGAATTGTCTGAATTAGAGTGCAGGGTCCAGGTGATGGTGGCCTCAAGTTCATGTGACCATGATTCCACTTAGACAGTTGAAACAGTGGTGTAAGTAGCTGGCATCGGTCAGGGTTTTATCTATTGTCTCTTCATGTCCACACTCTCAGGAGGGCACTGTTCATTCCCCCAGGTGCTTGCGCTTCTTAGGGATTTGGAGTATTCTTCTGAGATTCTCTTTAACTACAATTCTGACTGAATGTGTATTTACTTTTTCTTTCAGTATATAATAACCCATTTCCACTTAGCTAAATTACATTATGGGGAATTATATATTTTATTGCAGAGAGCCAAAAACACATTCTCTCTTATAATCATTGCAGCTAGAAATAATCTCAATTTGTTTCAAATTTTGCTATGAAGTACACTTAATATGTGTGTGTGTGTGTGTGTTATGTGTGAAGGTACACACAGGTGTATATGTATTTAAAAGTTGTTTGGTGCAGGTGTCTATTTCATTAATTTTAGGTAGGAAGCTTCTCACCCTATTTTTAGAGGAAGACAAAACTTTTGGAAGTTAAAGCTTCACAACGTGTCACCATAACATAAAATAATGTATGAGGAAGGTTCTTTGGTGAGCTTATCTGAATTATTAGGCTACTGGAAATGAACTTTTCCATTTTTCTTCCCCCAGAGACACCATTATTTCTAGTTACACCGTTGAAGGTCCTGCTTCTGTTCTTCCTGCAGTTGCGTGTTTTACTGTCACCTGCATGGATTACAAGGGCCTCCCAACTTCCTTCTTTACCACCAGGCTTTTTCTTTTCTTCTGCTTCTTCCTCTATGCTGGTTTTTCACCTGTTACCCAAGTCTTTATGACTAGATCAGCATTGTCCTGTAGAACTTTATGTGGTGACATAAAAGATCTGTATGTATGACCACAGAACTGAATTTTAGTTTATTTAAATATCTGTATGTAGATGGTTACTACCATATCGGACAATGCAGAGAAGCATTCCAACCCTCGTTTTAAAATTATTTTTAGTTGGGAGATAATTGCTTTACAGTGTTGTGTTGGTTTCTGCCGTTCAGCAGCATGTAACTCACCCTTTGACTCTTCATGGACATTTCATATTTTATTTATGCTATTCACTCAGCCTAGAACATACCATCCTTGTATTTGATGTAGTGTTAAGTCGCTCAGTTGCATCCGACTCTTTGCGATGCCCCGGACTGTAGCCTGCCAGAATCCTCTGTCCATGGGATTCTCCAGGCAAAAATACTGGAGTGGCTTGCCATTGCCTTCTCCTGAGTGTATTTGATTAACAAATGTTTTTGAGCCCCTGATACCCAGACCTTCCTGTTCTGGGTAACACCTTGCTGAATGCCACTTTCTACCTTCCTCTTGCCTCTTACAAGGCATCTCTTTCTATGTGGGACCTATGGGACTTTCACCTCTGAATCATTTGTGAACTTTTTATGGAACTCTGTGGAATCTAAGCTCCTCAGATCAAGGCCTTATCCATGTGCCTAGTATGGTATACGGGAATCTCAGGGTGGGGAAAATAACAGTAGAGGTGGATAAAGGATGTGAATAAAGAAGATAGTGTAGGAGATGGCTAAAGGTTCAAATGATACTAAGAACTAAGCTCTCTTTCCTATACTTTCGTATATTTTACATTAGAAAAATTTCTCTAATGATCATTAGAGAAAATATTCTGAATGTTTTTCCCAAGGCAAGCTAGATTAGTGGTGAAACCATTTGTATTTAAATATACCTTTATAATCAAGTCAATATATTTAAATCCAGAAGAATTATTTATTACTAGAATATGTAGGTATTTATACTCCGTTTCATTCACAAGTATTTGCAATTGCTTGCAGAAATACATATACTGCAATTTTATTTTTTAAACAATCAAGATGAGGAAAAATATGAATAGGTGATAGTAAGATGTGGCAGGTAAAACATAAGTAGACATAAAAATCTGCTGCAGTATTTTATAGTTACAAAAGCTGGGAACTATGCAAATATAAGTAACTCGCTTTGGGACCACCACAAGAGTGAGTTCTTTATTTAACTATGTCTCTCTAGAGATACCTGGTAAATAGAAAAAGATGATATTCCTCTACTGCAGGTACATTTTCTGTATATTTTGACAATGAAATATATGGGGAGCATTAGTTTAAATGAATTAAAATCCAGTGGAGCAAACTTTAAAAGATAATTTATTTTGTGACATTAAATTTGTGTACATTTGTGATTTTTCCAGTTAGACTGTGAACTCTTACTGTTCAACAAAAATTCTATTTTGATGATGTTGATCTTATAACATTTAGTTCAAACCTCCAATGTCTTGATATTATAAAGGTTACAGATGAATAATAAGCTGTTGCATACCCTGCCATACAGCTTTTTAACAGGAAGACCTGAGAGAGTCTGCGTGTACCCATGTGTGTCTGTGTCTGTACTTCTCTCTAGACACCCCCCACAAAATAATCAGCTCCCACTCTCAAAGTCGGTCAACCGCTGTATAAACACTGCAGGTGAAGTTCTTTATAAGCAGTAAGAGGAAATGATTAGTTTTGCCTGAAGTTCTGCTGCTGATCCTGGCCTTTCTTTAAACGCAGGCGAAGATGCTTTTGATGCCCTGCCTCCGTCCCTCCCGCCTCCCCCACCTCCCGCAAGGCACAGCGTCATCGAACATTCGAAACCTCCTGGCTCCGGCAGCCGACCATCCTCAGGACAGGACCTTTTCCTCCTTCCGTCAGGTAGGAGAGAAAACCCAAGCAAACCTTTTCACTGGAAGCAAAGTATTTCTAAGATCATACTGTCAAATAAGCATCAGTAGTTCACTGATTTCTAGCTCTCAAGCTGGAAAATCCTGGGGGAAAATAGCAGTTGGGTGGGTTTGTCTGTCAGTTGTTTGGTTTAGTGCCGGAAGGATTTGTAAAAATGGTGAAAGCAACAAGGAATCACAGAATTTAGAAATGTTGCTGTAGAGATGATCCAGTCCAAATAACACCTGTATGCTACAAAAGACTTCTCTGAGAACCAGCAGGGCTCTGTGTTTGGGCTAATAGTGATGGGGACAAATTTAGACTCACCCCTAACTCTGAGTGTGATATTTCTAATAACGTGTTTAAAAATTTTTACTAAATATGCTTTAGGGTCATTATTTTATTCCAAAACATAATATCTTGGTAAATTATAGTGCTGTAACATTAGTAGGTATGTTTTTTTCTGAAATACCTGCATTTTATTGTTGTGTTACTGTTCTCATTTTTAATGCCTCCGTGTATTTACTAAAATTATTGGTCTTCGAGGAAAAATTAATATATAGCTTTTTGTAAATTCAAGTGAGGAGTAGAAATAAAAAGACTTAGTAAACCATCCACTTTACCAGTCAGAATTATGAGGGAAAAAAAATTCAGTTATATTGAATCTGCTGATATTAACTGTTCCAGTCCGCCCCGTTGGTGACACTGTGATCTATACTCAAACATTTGCTTCCTCAGTTTGGTTTGATTAAACATAGGATAAAGATTTTCTTTCTTAGCAACTGCCTTACATATATGTATGAGCTAAATCATGGAAGCCTTTTTAAGAGTGCTGACTTTGTCCTTTGGCCTCCTGCACGCTTCGTAGAAAACTTGGGGATCTTAACCATTGGCCATTCACCTTTTACATTTTTTTCATGGTTCTTTCTTTCCATTTGATTTGATAATTTAGAAGTTTGAGGCAGTTTGTACATATGACACACAATTATAGACATATAACTTGGAATATATTGCTTCAGTTTCTAAAGGCAGTTTATGTTCAAGGAATAATTTTGAGTTTAATTTTTTGTCAGTAAATACTGAATTGCCCTGTGTCACTGACCCTGTGAAATGCTTCCCTGACCTCATGGATCACGTTAATTTGTTAAATGCTGCCAGTCTGAGCTGTATTTAAGCCCACTGAATGAAAGCTCAGTGAAGTGACTTGTTTTAAAATTAAGCTTTCTAGGATTCTAGAACATTTTACACACATGCTTCTACCTATTTCAGAAGAATCAGTTGTAAAATATTTTAGTTCTTTATCATAATTTCATTGTGCTTTGTAAAAATCTTCAAAAATTTTTTACTCAAGATTAATTATGAGAAAAAAATACTTCAAAATGAAAAGCCCCCTTTTTTATTAGACAGAATGAAACTGTTGCATAAACCGCTTTATTTCATGTATAGCTTTGTTTGACAGCCAGAGGGGCTCAGGAGCAGTTATCCCTAGCCTATGGTGTGAGGCTGACGCGAGACCAGAGCAGGGTCATTTGAACTATTGACTCACTCTTGACCTGCTTTTGGGTTTTCCTGGTGGCTCAGATGGTAAAGAACCTGCCTGCAATGCAGGAGACCCAGGTTTGATCCCTATGTTGGGAAGATCTCCTGGAGAAGGGAATGGCTACCCACTATTCTTGCCTAGAGAACTCCATGGACAGAGGAGCCTGGCAGGCCACAGTTCATGGGGTCGAAAAGAGTCGGACATGACTGAGCAACTAACACACAGACTTGACCTCCTTTTATCCATGGAAGTATTCTAATTCCATTCCAAATAATATTGACAAATTAAATTGACATTTCTTCTAAGAAGAAAAAAGTGCAGCTTTCTTCCCTGTTTCCAGTCTCCTGTCATTAACAGGGCAAATTTCTAGTCTGTTGCCAGTTGCTTTATGTGATTCAATGAGTCACTGTTTTTATTCATTTTTAAACCACATGTATTAGACCTCCTCTTTTTCAAAAGAAATATTTTAATTGTTCTTAATGGAATATCATAGAACCCGAAGGTTTCTTTCAGCTTGTAAATAAGCACTTGATTATATCATTCTGCAAAGGATTTAACACATTATACTGTCTAAAAAGTGTAATAGAAAATTCATAAAATCAGTTCTTTACTCTGAATTGAACTTTCTAAAAGAATATAAATACTAAACTGAAGTTTAACTCAGTAGTTGTAGAACCATATAAGGTAAACAAAGGTGATTGCTAAATTGAAACAGATATATGAGCATTTTACTGCCATTATTTTCATTATAGTTTAATCTGTAAAAGTTTAGACCAGTGTAATGATAAGCATTTTCTGGCATTATGGAAATTTGGTTTCCTTGAGGAAATCAGTATCCCTAATTAAAGACAGAGGTTAGGCATCTTCATGATGTTAAGTACCTCTTTAAACCAGCCTCTTTATTCCAGCATTCAGTGCCCTGCACAGCTGAGTCAGGCCCACCTTTCCAGCCTTACAAGCCCAATGACTGCTCTATAATAGTGATTTTTAAACTGCAGGGCCCAGTGTTTCCGCAAAAGAGCCTTAGGACTCCCATACGATCAAAAACGGGAAATGAAGCAGGGACACAGCTCTGATGCTGCTTTTATCTGGTTTCCGTTTTAGGCCTCCATGCAAGATTTCTTTTGGCAAAATAGTAATGCCCACCCCACGGTACATGAGCCATCTACTCTGGACAAGCCAGTCATATCTTAACAAAACCTGAAGAGTCCTCAAAAAAAGCTTTACACTTTCCTGTCTACAAACCCAGGGCTAGCACATATAGGCTTTTATGTGCATTACAAAAAGACATTTCTTAGTGTTGGTGGGTTGAAATAGGCGCGCCTCCCTCTGCTTTGTGCCAGGGCCAGGGCTCCAGGAACAAAGCCAAGGCTGCAGTTACATCTGCTCGTTCCCAGGACTGCGTCTTTGTGCAGTGCACAAAATACACAATGTATCTGGAGCCCTTACTGAACCTTTCCTTCACTCTGGTTCTACCTGGAATCTTCTTTTGCAGACCTTATCCAGTCTCAAAGTCACAATTCAACCCTGAAGGCTAGCCAAACTGACATTATTAGAGATAAAGGAAAGTTTTCCACTGGGATCCAGAAATGCAATTGCATAAGTAACGTACAGAGAAGGCTTGGATCATTAGCAGCAGTTCCTGGGAATGCTTTAGGGTGTGATGACGCACACCCATGACATGGTTTCCCAGGGTGCTCATGCCCTCTGAGGGTGGCCCTCACAGAGTTCAGGTCAGAGACCCCGCGAGGCGAGGTCCTCCCCGGGGCGCAGCCAGCGTGGAGACCACTGTGTCCAAGTGTTGAAGGATTCATGGGGTAGAGCCGTGGTTCTCAAGTTGTGGTCTCAAGACCAGCAGCATCAGCATCTCCTAGAAATTTGTTTAAAATACCAGTTCTTTAGACTTACTCAAGACTTACTGAATCAGACACTCTGGGAGTAGGACCAAAAGTCTGTATCCTCACAAGCCTTTGGGGTGATTCAGATGCATGCTCAAGCTGGAGAAGCCCGAGACTAGCTTATTCCTGAGGAATGCAGCCAGCGTGAGAGAGGAAAATAAAACCACACCATGTGAGCTATGGTACATTAAAGGGACTGGAGGTGTTTTAACCGAGAGGGTAGAAGATCTTGACTATATTAGAGTTGCCTTCAACCACTGTACTTGTGAAAGAATGATTAGATTTCCTCCATGTCTCCTCAAATGATCAAAGACTGACCAGTGAGAAGAATTAGGAGTGAAAAAATGCATTCCTCTTAAGCTTCCTGAATTAATAATAATTCATATATCTCAGATGGGTATTTAATTCTCTAACACTGGAGGACTTAATCCGTGGCAAATCACCACATATGGGGATTTTATGAATATGAGTTAGAGTGAGGAGTTTTGTTTCACTTCAATAGCTCTTCAAACCCTATTCCAAGTCTTTATCAGTTACATCTAGCATTGATAGTCTTTGAAAACTTTCAGAGTATTGGATCAATCTTTGAGATAACTTTTGGGCAGTCCAGAGGAAAGATGCCATTGTTTTAACTGTTCAAATTGCCTCTTTTCCTACACTTGAGTAAAAGATTCTGAGTATTTCAGATAGTGGGGGAAAAAGAATTAAGAAAATTCCATAATGCCTCCTCCCAGAGAAAACCTCTTGTTAGGTTTCCTTCTTCAGTTCAGTCACTCAGTCATGTCCGACACTCTGCGACCCCATGAATCGCAGCATGCCAGGCCTCCCTGTCCCATCACCAGCTCCCGGAGTTTACTCAAACTCATGTCCATCGAGTTGGTGATGCCATCCAACCATCTCATCCTCTTGTCATCCCCTTCTCCTCCTGCCCCCAATCCCTCCCAGCATCATGGTCTTTTCCAGTGACTCAGCTCTTTGCAGCAGGTGGCCAAAGTACTGGAGTTTCAGCTTCAACATCAGTCCTTCCAATGAACACCCAGGACTGATCTCCTTTAGGATGGACTGGTTGGATCTCCTTACAGTCCAAGGGACTCTCAAGAGTCTTCTCCAACAACATAGTTCAAAAGCATCAATTTTTCAGTACTCAGCTTTCTTCACAGTCCAACTCTCACATCCATACATGACCACTGGAAAAACCATAGCCTTGACTAGACGGACCTTTGTTGGCAAAGTAATGTCTCTGCTTTTTAATATGCTATCTCAGTTGGTCATAACTTTCCTTCCAAGGAGCAAGCGTCTTTTAATCTTATGGCTGCAATCACCATCTGCAGTGATTTTGGAGCCCCCCCAAAATAAAGTCAGCCACTGTTTCCACTGTCTCCCCATCTATTTCCCATGAAGTGATGGGACCAGATGCCATGATCTTAGCTTTCTGAATGACACAGCATTATTTTGATTGATACCTATTTCCGCACTTTAAAGTGCAAAGCAAACCTTTTCCTCCCAGTCTTTCCTCAGTTTTTAATAATCTCTTAAAATAAGTATTAAAATTTTTCAATTTAGCATTCAGTTCAGTTCAGTTCAACTGCTCAGTCATGTCCGACTCTTTGCAACCCCATGAATCACAGCACGCCAGGACTCCCTGTCCATCACCAACTCCCGGAGTTTACTCAAACTCATGCCCATCCAGTTGGTGATGCCATCCAGCCATCTCATCCTCTGTCGTCCCCTTCTCCTCCTGTCCCCAATCCCTCCCAGCATCAGGGTCTTTTCCATCGAGTCCAGCAGTACCCTGCTTTTAGAGTAGACCAGTCCCATCATGTTTATTCATTCATTTCTGAAACATTTATTACTATATATAATGATACACTGGCTATGGTATTTTCACTTTTGTATGTTTTAATCTTAAGTGTGGATATAAAATTTTATTTTAGTGGATTGTTGAAGAATTTATTTTTTAAAACTATTGATTTTCTATTCTTGTAATTATTGTACCTCTGTAGTAAATGTATCATGTGTATTTTCCCATTGAAGCAGGAACCCTTCCAACCTTACAACTTGCTGCAGAAGCCCAGTTTACCCTGTACCTGAGCAGTAGCCAAACTTACCATGAAGCATCATAGTGACTCAGAATTGAATTAAATATTCCATGCTCTTTATGTGTACATTTTAGTGTACCCAGTGACTTTTTAGGTGCAATAGATTAATGGCACAATATCATACTACTGTATATTATGTAGTCTATTTATGACTCAGTAATCAGTCATTTATGACTCAGTAATCTGGAATATAATATTTAGCCTTAAATAAACAGATGTTTAGAAATAGCTTAGGTATATTTAACAAAACCATAAATTTACCCTTAAGGAAACAGAAAAGTTTATATATTGTAGAAGATGGTCTTTTCTCTGACCCAATTTTAAATCTGTGACGTTTTAAAATGAACAAAAACTAAAAGTAAATTTTATTGAACATTTAACTGTAAATCTTAGGAAATTTTCTATATTTATGCAGAAATAACCATATTTGGTCCCTTTGGTTAGCCTTCCAAAATCAAAAGATTAATATTTATTGCATGGAATTTATCTTCTTACTCCTTCCTAAAATGTTTCAGCAAAATTAATGAGGCTGATCCATTGACTTTTCAGTTATTGAAAACTCAGAATCTAAGACTCATTTTAATCTCAAAATTAATGAAAGCAAATTAAGTAACCTTGGTTAGGTTTAAAAAAAAAAGTCTCTAGCAAAGCTGGGGATAATTATTGTATTCAAATAAGGAAAGAAAATGACTTGAACTCTTGCCTTACATTATCTGATCAAACTTTAGTATAAGTATGCATTTCCTTCTTAAATCATATTCTTACATGTTTTTAATATCAAACTCAAATGAAATTTAAAACAATGAAATGTTATCTGTTCTTCTTTAATAGTTAACATTTTAGCTTTATGTTAGCAATACAAATTTCACAGAGTTTGAATTTATGAAAAATCTGAATCTAGATTAGTTTTTGGTAGTTAAAAGTAAATATCTATGAAGTGCAGGCTGTTTACCCAGCAGTGTGCCTGGTACCATGTTTCTGTTAGGAGATATAATTCACACACAGTGGAGTATGAGATAAGGTCCCTGTCCTGTAGATGTCAAGTCCATTTTACAGATTATGTCTGCCTGATGCTTAAGAGAGATTAATTGATATGATAACACTATAACAAGCAAAATTCAAAATCCACTTTTTCTCGTTGACTTTACAACAGTTCCTGTTCATTGTACAGGACAGATTGGGGCATAAAATTAAAATTAGAAACAGTTTTTATCATCAACAATTTTGCTATCAAATAAGAGATCTGAAAAATGCAAAATTAGTAGTGTGCATCAGTTAGGAAAAACAGGGAAAAGCATTTTTGACCAAGTGATGAGTAAATTAGAAAATATGCAGGCAGATTAGAAAGTGGTTACTATCAGTCATGAAATGGTTTCTTACTTTCAAAAATTGATCTTTACAGAGAATTTATGATTGTTTTCTTCAGCCAGTTGGCAGAGACAATAGTTTTAATCTGAAGATTATCTTTATTTTTAAGATCCCTTTTTTGCTCCAGCAAGTGGCCAAGCTCCTTCGCCTCCTGCTAGGAGATCACCAGGCGAGACTGTCAAGCCCAGCAGAGCGCCGCAGGACTATGATCCACTCCCTTCATCTTCAGGTGAGGTGGCTAATCGCAGTGAGAATGATGCCTTACCTTTGCATAGTGCCTTTTAGAGCGCCTTTCATTCATTATGCAATTTAATGAGTACTGCCAGCCTAAGAAAGTATTTTTATCACCTCTGCATTTGCTCATAAAGCATGTATTATGTGAAGAATGCCTACAGAATTGTCTCACAGAAAATATTAATTAAGTCTTAATTTTGATCTGTCAGTAAGGCACGTTCTGTGCCTCAAAAATCTATTCATTCTCTAACTGAGCTCGTGGGAAGATCCAAGGCAGCCAAGTAAGTAAATACTTCATTCTCTAACTTTTGTCTTGCCTTATCAGATATGAGAGATGGGAGAAATGTCTATATACACTGAAATGTTGTGTTCTCTTATTTTTCCATTAAAGGAAAAAAAAAAATCTCTTTAGAATTACTATTAGCACCAGACTGTTAATTTTCAAGCTTATTTAGGGCTATCGTGCAATGTTCAGCTGCTAGTCAGTAAGTGTTGGGTTGGTCAAAAAGTTGGTTCAGGATTTTAGTATGATGTTTCAGAAAAACCCAAACTTTTTGACCAACCCAATAGAAGGATGTACCATTTTAGTAACTACAAGTCATACTCATAGCCATTATTAATGAAACGCTACTGATCTGCTTCTTCAGGATGCCTTCCATATCTAAAATAGCTTCCCCTACTTTAAACAGTCACTTTATCCCCTTCTTTTGCCTTATGTTTCTTAATACCACCTTCCATTAATTTCTTTGCTTGACCGTTTATCTTCTCACTCAAATATTAATGCTTTAAAGATATATGTGTGATTTGGTGCACTGCTATATCCCCAAGTGTCCAGAGGAGTGCCTAGCACTTATTTCTTGGATGAGTGTCTTAGATACAGGGGAGGAGGGAAGAGTAACTGATAGATGTTATGCTGAACATAACACATATTAAACAATTAAAACAATATATTCGTCTCACAATTAGAAGCATCAGGAGTTTTTCCTGTGTAAATTTTTGTCCTATATCAGTATTTTTTTAACTCTTTTTTTTAAGTACAGTTGATTATAATGATATGCTACTTTCAGGTATATAACAAAGTGTTATATAACTGAATATATATATGTGTGTGTGTATGTATATCAGTTCTGCTTAGTCATGTCCAACTCTTTGCAACCCCATGGACTGCAGCATGCCAGGTCTCCCTGTCCATCACCAACTCCAGGAGCTTAATCAAACTCATGACAATTGAGTTGGTGATGCCATCCAACCATCTCATCCACTGTCATCCCCTTCTCCTGCCTTCAGTCTTTCCAACATCAGGGTCTCTTCCAGTGAGTCTGTTCTTTGCATCAGGTGGCCAAAGTATTGGAGTTTCAGCTTCAGCATCATTCCTTGCAATGAATATTCAGGACTGATTTCCATTCAGATGGACTGATTGGATCTCCTTGCAGTCCAAGGGCCTCTCAAGAGTCTTCTCCAACATCACAGTTCTAAAGCATCAATTCTTCAGTGCTCAGCTTTCTTTATAGGCCATCTCTCACATCCATACATGACTACTGGAAAAACCATAGCTTTGACTAGACGGACCTTTGTGGCTAAGTAATGTCTCTGCTTTTTAATAAATTGTCTAGGTTGGTCATAGCTTTTCTTCCAAGGAGCAAGCATCTTTTAATTTCATGGCTGCAGTCACCATCTGCAGTGATTTTGGAGCCCCCAAAAATAAAGTCTGTCACTGTTTCCCCATCTATTTCCCATGAAGTGATGGGACCAAATGCCATGATCTTAGTTTTCTGAATGTTGAGCTTTAAGCCAAATTTTTCACACTTGTCTTTCACTTTCATCAAAAGGCTCTTTAGTTTTTCTTTGCTTTCTGCCATAAGGGTGGTGTCATCTGCATATATGATATTGATATTTCTCCCTGCAATCTTGATTCCAGCTTGTGCTTCAACCAGTCCAGCATTTCTCATGATGTACTCTGCATATCAGTTAAATAAGCAGAGTGACAATATACAGCTTTGACGTACTCCTTTCCCAATTTGGAACCAGTCTACTGTTCCATGTCCAGTTCTAACTTCTTGACATGCATACAGATTTCTCAGGAGGCAGATAAGGTGGGCTGGTACTCCCATCTCTTGAAGAATTTTCCACAGTTTGTTGTGATCCGCACAGTCAAAGGCTTTGGCATAATCAATAAAGCAGATGTAGATGTTTTTCTGGAACTCTCTTGCTTTGTCGATGACCCAACAGATGTTGGCAACTTGAATTCTGGTTCCTCTGCCTTTTCTAAATCCAGCTTGAACATCTGGAAGTTCATGGTTCATGTACTGTTGAAGCCTGGCATGGAGAATTTTGAGCATTACTTTGCTAGCTTATGAGATGAGTGCAGTTGTGCAGTTGTTTGAGCATTCTTTGGCATTGGAATGAAAACTGACCTTTTCCAGTCCTATGGCCGCTGCTGAGTTTTCCAAATGTGCTGGCATATTGAGTGCAGCACTTTCACAGCATCATCTTTTAGGATTTGAAATAGCTCAACTGGAATTCCATCACCTCCACTAACTTTGTTCGTAGTGATGCTTCCTAAGGCCTACTTGACTTCGCATTCCAGGATGTCTGGCTCTATGTGAGTGATCACACCATTGTGATTATCTGGGTTGTGAAGATCTTTTTTGTATGTGTATATATATATACTGTGTATATATATGTACTGTGTATATACAGTATATGAGATATGAATATACATATATAGTCTTCTTCGGATACTTTTCCATTATAGGTTATTACAACATAGTGAATATAGTTCCCCGTGCTATGCAGTAGGACCTTGTTTATCTATTTTATATATAGTACTATGTATCTGCTAATCCCAAATTCCTAATTTATCCCTCCTTACTCCTTTCCCCTTTTATACCAATTTGTTTTCTATGTCTGTGAGTTTCTGTTTCATAAATAGATTCACTTATATCACTTTTTTCAGATTCCACATATAAGTGACATCATAAGATATTTGTCTTTCTCCATATGATTTACTTCACTTAGTATCATAACCTCTAGGCCCATCCATGTTGGTACAAGTGGCGTTATTTCATTCTTTTTTATGGCTACATAGTGTTCCATTGTATGTATGTATGCATGTATATATATCCATTCATGTATATCCATTCATCTATCGATGGACACTGCATTGTTTCCATATCTTGGATACTTTAAATAGTGCTGCTATGAACACTGGGGTGCATGTATCTTTTTGAATTTTTTTTTATCTTTTCCAGATATATGCCTGGAAAATGGGTTGCTTCATCATATGGTAACTTGATTTTTCATTTTTTAAGGAATCTCTATATTGTTCTCCATAATGGCTACATCAGTTTACATCCTCCCCCACAGTGTAGGAGAGTCCTCTTTTCTCCACACCCTCTCCGGCATTTGTTGTTTGTAAACATTTTGATGACGGCCATTCTGACCTGTGTGAGGTGATATCTTGTAGTTTTGATTTGCATTTCTCTAATAATTAGCAGTGTTGAGCATCTTTTCATGTGCCTCTTGGCCATCTGTATGTCTTCTTTTGGAAAGTGTCTCTTTAGATGATCTGCCCATTTTTTGTGTTTTGTAAAAGTTGATCTGGATGAGTTTGTGTATTTTAGAAGTTAATCCCTTGTTTGGTTTCCTCTAGTTTTATAATACCTGGTGTTCTGTTTAGGTCTTTAAACTCATTTTGAGTTTATTTTTGTGTATGCTACTAGTTGTTTTAATTTCATTCTTTTATATACAACTGTCCAGTTTTCCCAGCACCACTTATTGAAGAGACTGTCTTTTCTCCATTGCATATTCTTGCCTCCTCCTTTATAGATTGACCATAGTGTGTGGGTTTATTCCTGGGCTTTCTGTCCTGCTCGTGGATTCGTGTTTTCTGTTTTTGTGCCAGTACAGGACTATTCTGATGTCTGTAGCTTTGTAGTAGAGTCTGAAGTCAGGGAGTGTGATTCCTCCGGCTCATTCTTCTTTCTCAAGATTGTTTTGACTACTCGAAGTCCTTTGTGTTTCAATACAAATTTCAAAATTATTTCTTCTCTGAAAAGGGTTATTGGTAATTTGATAGGAATTGCATTCAATCTGTAGATTGCTTTGGGTAGTATAGTCATTTTGACTATATCAACAATATTGACAATATCTATTCTTCCCATCTAAGAACAGACTATATCTTTCTGTTTGCATCACCTTCAGTTTATTTCATGAGTGTTTTATAGTTTTCAGAGTATGTCTTTTGTCTTCTTAGGTAGGTTTATTCCTAGGTATTTTATTCTTTCTGTTGTGACAGTAAATGGGATTGTTTTCTTAACTTCATTGATACTTTATTGTTAATGTATAGAAATGCAACAGATTTCTGTATATCAAATTTTGTATCCTGCAGCTTTACCTAATTCATTAATAAGCTCTAGTAGTTTACTGGTGGCATCTTTACAATTTTCTGTGTATAGTAGCAAGCTATCTTCCAACAGTGACAGTTTTTTTTTACTTCTTCCTTTCTAATTTGGATTCCTTTTTTTTTCTTCTCTGCTGTGGCTAGGACTGCCAAAGCTATTTTGAACAAAAGTGGCAAGAATGGCATCCTTGTCTTATTCTTGATCTTAGAATGCTTTCAGGTTTTCAGTGCTGAGCATGATGTCCATAGTGGGTTTGCGCTATGTGTTCTTCATTATGTTAGGTATGTTCCCTACATGCCCACGTTCTGGTAGTTCTTATCAGAAATGGGTGTTGAATTTTATCAGAAGCATTTCTGTATCTATTAAGATGATCATATGGTTTCTAGTCTTTAGCTTGTTAATGTGATATATATCAAATTGATTTATGGATGCTGAAAAATCCTTGCAATCCTGGGATAAATCCCACTTGATCATGGTGTGTGATCCTTTTTAATGTATTGTTGCATTCAGTTTGCTTTCAAGCTCAAATCTCAGCTCACAGATTTGTTAATAGTGAGCAGTTGTCCATTCTGTAACATCCAAATCAAAGTAG